GCTACCACCACTGACTGCTCTGACTGGGATCACAACAGAGGGTCCTGGACAGAGCTGGAGAAGGATGTAGAACAAAATTCTAACGCACACAAAAAAAGACCAGATTTACTGGCCTGAAAGAGTCTGGAGAAACCCTGAGAGTATGGCCCCCAGACGCCCTCTTAGCTCAGTGGTGAAGTCACTTCTGAGGTTCACCGTTCAGCCAGGGATTGGACAGCCCCATAAAACAAAATGGGAGTAATGAGGCACAGCAGTCCAGGGACAAGGACTAGAAGGCAGAAGGGGACAGGAAAGCTGGTGATAGGGGACCCAAGGTTGAGAAAGGACAGTATTGACATGTAGTGGGGTTGTTAACCACTGTCATAGGGCAACGTGTACCATTTAATGAGAAACTATTTTGTTCTGTAAACCTTCATCTAAAGTCAGAATAGCAGCACAACTGAAAGAATGTAATCGATGTCACTGAATTGTGCGTGTGGAAATTTTTGAAATGGTGTATCTTTGGCTATGTATATTTTTACAAAAAAAAAAAAGGTCGGGAAAGGAGAGGGTTGACATGTCGTGGGATTGTTAACCAATGTCATAAAACAATATGTGTACTGACTGTTTAATGAGAAACTACTTGTTCTCTAAACCTTCACCTAAAGTACAATTAAAAAAAAAAAAAGAATGTCAATGTATTTTATTTTTCAAATGAGGAAAATGACTCTAAAATACCTGAAAAACAAATACACGAGAATATCCAGCAACTATTTGGAAAGGATAAATAATTGGTGGGACCAACTCTAACAGATATATAAATGTGTTGTACAGTTACAGTACTTAGAACAGTGAGGCACTTATACAAGAATAGACAAACTGATCCATGAAAGTGGACAGAAACTCCAGGAATAGAACCAAAACATACATTTAAATTAATAGGGAATGAATGGATTTTCCAATCAATGGGGCTGGAACAAGCAGTTATCCTGGTAACCATTCTTGCTTCTCTACTAGGTAAACCAGATTAGGACACCCCCTGATTTCAATTTGGAGTACCTGGGTGGTACAAACTGTTAACACACACTGGTTGGTGGTTTGAATCCACCCAGAGGTACCTCAGACAAAAGGCCTGACAATTTATTATTAGAAAGATTTCTACTCTGACACACATGGGGTTGCCAGGAGTTGGAGTTAGCTTTAGGGCTACTGGTGGTGGTGGTGGTGGTAGAACGACTGCCCATACACAACTTTTCACTCTGGGTTTGGAAGTCCCATGATTTGGCCCGTACCTATCTCCCTGCCCTCATCTCAGTCTAGTCTCACGTGTGCTGATCGTGCTACTGCCTTGGGCCTTTAACTAGCTGTTCCCCCTAGATGTTCATAAACCTGGCTCCTTGTCATTCATTCAGATCTCAACTCAAAGTCACTGCCTCAGAGAAGCCATTCCTTTAGGGACTATCCAACCCTCCATCAAAATGCTCTGTTTTAAGTGTTTGCATAGTTTATTTATTACTACCTGATATTTTTCTTATTCATTTATTTGTTGGTCTATTTATTGTCTTTGCAGTTCAAATCCACCAGCTGCTCCTTGGAAATCCTATGGGGCAGTTCTACTCTGTCCTATAGGTCACTATGAATCTGAATCAACTTGATGGCAACAGGTTTGGGTTTGGTTTCCCTCTACTAAACAGCAGGAGTCTTGCCTATAATGTTGACTTTATCCCCATGGAACAATGCCTGGCATATACTGGGGACTCAATAAATATGTGCTTAATGAATTAAATGAAATAATAAACAAGCTGAGTAACCATGTGGGAACAACATATATTCTTTCCTATGTTGTTCAAATATTCTGGATGGATTAAAATATTTCAAAGTGAAAAATATGATTAACATAGTGAAAGTATAAATCCAAAAAGACAATACCCATTATTGTCATCATCTCATATCCTATACATGCAACTGTACAGTATTATAACCGTTCTGAAAAGTAATTTGGTCAATTGAATCAAAACATTTTCCCCCAGTAATTCTACTTCTGGAGCCCTGGTGGCACAGTAGTTAAGAGCTATGACTGCTAACTAAAAGGTCAACAGTTCGAATCCACGAGATGCTCCTTGGAAACTCTATGGGGCAGTTCTACTCTGTCCTGTAGGGTCACTATGAGTCGGAATTGACTTGATGGCAATGGGAAGGAATGGGAATTCCACTTCTATACATTTATCCTAAGGAAATAATAATTTTCAAAGATGTATAGAGAAGTACTATTATATAAGTGTTGTTTATTAATAGTGAAAATGGTAAATAACCTAAATGTACATTAATCAGAGACTAGTGAAAGAAATTATGGTACATCCATACAATGAAAAAGTAACAGCTGCTGAAGGCTATTTATTGAGATGGGCAATTATGTGTATGATGTATTATTAAATAAAAAAAAGCTGGTTACAAACATTATACATAATCTGATCCCTTTTTGTTCTAAAAGAATTATGTATGTACATAGAAAAACATGAGTGGATATAACATCAAAATATTAATGATGGTTTTCTCTGAATTGTAGAGCTATAAGGGATCTATATTCTTTATACTCATTAGTAGTTTCATTTTCTTATTTAGCTATTAAAAAAGGGGGTTCTCATCGTTGCCATGAGCCAGAACTGACTTGACGGCAACTGGTTTGGTTTTAATGTGTGCTCTCTTTACCTCCTTGAAAATGTGTCTGACTTCTCTATCAGAAAATTCCTGCTTTCTATCTGACATCTCTTCCAATCCAATATAAGTCAATATCTTCTTGAGTGGAAGGGGTAATGATGGGAACAGTTGATGATCATCCTTTCAACAGCCTGCCACATACCCTTTGCTTATCGCTACTATTTTTCTTAAAACAAAAAGAAAGGAAGGGAAAGAGGGAGGGAGGGAGAGTCAGTAGGAGGAAGGAGGAAAGAAAAATTCTTTCAATTAGTTCATTAAGCCAAGAAAAAGCATCTATTAAGTACCAGAACTTTCTTTAAAGACTTGCTTTTCTGGCACTCTTAAATTAATATAGCTACAGCTCTTAAAATAACCTGGTAATTTTTCTAAAGAAGAAATTTCATTCCTCAAAAGAACTGGCAAATGAATGCTTTAAATAGTCCACACATAATAACAATAGTAATAATAATAATACTTGAAAATATATCAGTAGCAACTCACCTCCAATGACTCCAATACACAAGTAAAGTTCCTGTACATTGTTACAGAAAGAAGCTGCAATCAAGCCACAGCCTGACAAGCAGCCACCAGCAATAATGACTGGACGACTGCCATATTTATTCACCAGGATACTGCTGATAGGACCTAGAAGAGAACAAACCACTTAGTAATATAAAAAAGTAATAGTAATATAGAAAAGAAGCCCACCCCCTCACACAAAGCATTAACTGACATAAAAGGGTACCAAGACAGAACCTTCCCCTGCCCAAATAAACAGATAAAACAGAAGGCAGTGGTAAGGAATCCTGCTTTCTATCATTTCAGAGTCACAGGTTTGTGTCATGGGAAAAACAAACAAACAAACAAAATACATTGATTGTGCATCTTCTATATACCTAGAACATATTGGATAGATCTTAACTAAAATATAAGAAATCTTAATCTATTTCTTGTAAGTCAGAACAGGCTGCAAATAACCTGATTATAAGTGATTACAGAAGGCTTCATATCATCTAGGATTTTATCAACAGATATGTAGCAAGGATGCTCTGTTCTAACTTTTTAGACACGCATCTGGAACAAAGACACGTGGATATGATGAGATGTATGAACAAATCTGATCAAGCTTTTGACTTTAGAGCATATTTACACACTAGCTAAAATGTGTGTGTTTTTTCATATAAAACAACAACAAAACTTAAACAAAACTACAAGACAAGAATGCCTACCATCACCACTTTTCTTCAACATTACACTGGAGGTCCGAGCCAGCGCAGTAAGACAGGAGAAAAAATAAAAGGTGTAAGGATTGGAAAGGAAGAAAGCAAACTATCAGTAGTTGCAGAAGATATGTTCGTCTATCTAAAAAACCTGAAAGAATCTACCAGTAAACTACTGTAAATAACAAGAGTTTAGCAAGGTTACAGGAAATACGATTAAAATACAAAAATCAGTTGCCTTTCTATACATCAGCAGCAGAAGAACACATTTTTTAAAAAAAGATGTTATCTTTTATAAAGGCACCTGTTTTATAGTATTATAGCTGACCTAACAGAACACAAGTTGCTTTTATTTTTAAAGGGAATGAAAAATATGACTCTGATTACATAGCTTCAACAATTAACATTTAAAATACCTTATTGATGAAAGCATCAAGAACGACAAAGTACTTAATACAGAACATTCATCTGCCTATTGAAAGTTAGAAGAGCAGGGCTTCGTGGGTCCTTACCTGCACCGTACATGACAGCAAACATGATGGATGATATCCATGATACTTCACTGGTGCTGGCATTGAATATTTTTTCAATTTCTTTGAAAAACACAGAAATAGATTTGCCAAATGCACAAGAGAAGCCGATGGAAATGAAAGCTCCGAAAACCACCGCCCACCCCCAGCCTCCATCTGGGGGGGTGTATCCAACTGGACCTCCATCTGACACTGACATGTATGTAAAGGTAAGTTCCAAAATGCAGTTCGAATCCAAGTATCTGAAGGATATGAAATTGAAATAGTACATACCAAGTAAATCAGTAATGAAGCACTCCCACAAAACCCCTTACAGTTAGGTTACCAAAGACTGAATTGGTTTTCAGTGTTACTTGTTCTGTGAATCATGTTGTCGCATGTCATTTTTAGAGACTTAAACATTTACCACTGCTTGAACCATACACCAAAATCCTTTTCAATAAATGTATTTTTCTTCAAACTTATAAACATACCTATTTTAGTAACTGATATCAGTAATTCTCCACATTACCAAAGATAACCAAATGACTCATTTGACTTACAAAACCCGCATAATACATACCTTCTAAACGTTTCACAATTTAATATTTCCTTTATAATTTCTCCCTTCTCAAAACGCACTCTCCAATACTTACTGTCTTAGTCATCTAGTGCTGCTATAACAGAAATATCACAAGTGGATGGCTTTAACAAAGAGAAATTTATACTCCCACAGTCTAGGAGGCTAAAAGTCCAAATTCAGGGTGCTAGCTCCAGGAGAAGGCTTTCTCTGTCGGCTCTGGAGGAAGGTCCTTGTCATCAATCTTCCCCTGGTCGAGGAGCTTCTCAGCGCAGGGACCCCAGTTCTAAAGGACGTGCTATTCTCCTGGCTCTTGTTTCTTGGTGGTATAAGGTCCCCCTGTCTCTCTGCTTGATTCCCTCTTTTATATCTCAAAAGAGACTGGCTCAAGACACAATCCAATCTTGTAGATTAAGTCCTGCCTCATTAACATTAACTGCTGCTAATCCCATCTCATCAACATCATAGAGACAGGATTTACAACACACAGGAAAATCACATCAGATGACAAAATTGTGGACAATCACACAACGTTGGGAATCATGGCCTAGCCAAACTGATACACATATTTTTGGGGGTCACAATTCAATCCATGGCATTCCACCCTTTGGCCCCCCAAAATTCATGTCCTTGCCACATGTAAAGCACATTTGCCCCATCATATCATAGCAAGGCTTAAATCAACTCCAAGTCCAAAATCCAAAAATTGCTCTTCATCTGTGAAATCTAGAATACAAGTTATTTGCTTCCAAAGTACAATGGTGGAACAGGCACAAGCAAGACATTACCATTACAAATGGGAGAAATTGGAGAGAAAGAAGGGATAACAGGCACCAAGCAAGTCAGCAAGTTAGCCCTCAAGGCTTGAAAATAATCCTCTGTTCTCTGAGACCCTTTACACAATGGCCTTGCCCTCCAGACTCTAGGTATCGGCTATACTCTCCAGATTCTGAGTGGAGGCCTTTGGGCCCTGGGCTTCAGCTCCACCTTCCAGGCCCACTAGGAAGGCAACACTACTTCCTTGGCTTTAGGCGCACCATTCTCCCAGTCCATCTGAGTGGTGACTCCACCCTTAGAAACACCAGAGGCCATGGTTCCCCCTTTTGAGACCCCAGAGGTCATGGCCATACCCTTTGAGACTGAGGCAGTTTGGCTTTCTGTGTCCCGTCTGTTTAGATTCTGCTTCCTGGTTCCTTCACCTCTCGGCCCTTTGGGCCTCTCTGCCTGCAACTGTCCTGCCGGGGCAAGTGTTCCAATGCTCTGTAGCTCCACCGATAAGTGCCTGGAGGCACACCACTCTGCCAAGAGTCCTCCTTCACACAGGCACTCGGCTCTCTCTCGCTCCATAGGTCAGCTCCAGTGCTGTCTGTTGGTCTCCTGGTTCTGCTGCTGCTGTCTCTTGCTGTCTGCAGTGTAACAACTCTCCTCACTTCCTTCTGAGTCCTCACCAGAATTGTCAATGATGTTCACAATCCCACCAACAGTCTCTTCAAGGTAATCTAGGCCTTTACTATTAGGTGCTTTGAAACTCTTCCAGCCTCTATCCATTCAGTTTCAAAACCACTTCCACATTTTAGGTATCTGTTAGAGCAGAATCTCACTCCTGGTACCAAATTCTGTCTTAGTCATCTAGTGCTGCTATAATAGAAATACCACAAGTGGATGGCTTTAACAAAGAGAAATTTATTCTCTTACAGTCTAGGAGGCTAGAAGTCCAAATTCAGGGCATCAGCTCCAAGGGAAGGCTTTCTCTTCTTTGTTGGCTCTGGAGGAAGGTCCTTGTCATCAATCTTCCCCTGGTTGAGAAGCTTCTCAGCGCAGGGTCCCTGGGTCCAAAGGATGCGCTCTGCTCCTGGCTTCTTGGTGGTATGAGGTCCCCATGTCTCTCTGCTTGCTTCTCTCTTTTATATCTCAAAAAGATTGCATCAAGACACAATCCAATCTTGTAGACTGAGTCCTGCCTCATTAACATAACTGCCACTAATCCCATCTCATCAACATCATAGAGATAGGATTTACAACACATAGAAAAATCACATCAGATGACCAAATGGTGGACAATCACACAATGCTGGGAATCATGGCCTAGCCAAAATAATACACATATTTTGGGGGGACACAATTCAATCCATGACACTTATCTAGTTTTTACTTTCTCTAGAACTTGTAGGCTGACTTAAAAAATGTCAGGAAGGATAGACTGATATCTGTAACCCACTAGACATATAGTAATTTGCAAAATAAAGGATCATTGGAAACATAATTCTCATTTAATGGACTGGAAAGTTCTCTCAGTAAAGTTTGCCTTCCACCCAGCTTAGTTTTTTTTTTTTTTTTTTTGCTGTTAGATTTTTCCTCTTTTATTGGTTTGTAAATTTCTAATTCAGCCAGTTTTATTGATGTATTTGTTGGAGATTGTATTGTGATGTTGCTGTTAGCTGCCTTCAAGTCGACTGACTTGTGGCAACCTATGTACAACAGAACAAAATGTTGCTCCGTCCTGCATCATCCTCGTGATTGCCAGCTATGTTTGAGCATATCATTGTGGCTATTGTGCCAATCCATCTCACCAAGGGTCTCTCTTGCCCTTATTGGCCCTCTAGTTCACCAAACCTCCTGATGACATGTCCAAAGCAAGCCAAGCAAGTCTGACAGTGTTCTTGTAGTGTGATAGTGATGGTCTTATTAATGCTGTTATTGTTCATGGTAATAATAGTGACTTTTACCTTTGTGGTTTTTTTCTTTTTTAAATTGTTGTACTTTAAGTGAAAGTTTACAATTCAAGTTAGTCTCTCATACAAAAATTTATACATTGTTATGTGACTGTAACTGCTCTCCCTATACTGTGACAGCACACTCCTTTACACCTCTGATTTCCCATGTCTATTCAACCAGCTCCTAATCCTCTCTGCCTTCCCATCTCACTTCCGGACAGGAGCTGCCTTTTAGTCTCATGTATCTACTTGAGCTACGAAGCACACTCTTCACAAGTTATCATTTTATGTCCCATAGTCCAGTCTAACCTTTGTCTGAAGAGTTGGCCTCGGGAATGGTTTTAGTTCTGGACTGACAGACAGTCGGGGGCTACGGTTTCTGGGGTTCCTCCAGTCTCCGTCAGACCATTAAATCTGGTCTTTTTACTAGAATTTGAGGTCTGCACCTCACTTTTTCCCTGCTGTGTCAGGGACTCTCTGTTGTGTTCCCTGTCAGGGCAATGATCGTGGTAGCTGGGCACCATCTAGTTCTTCTGGTCTCAGGCTGATGCAGTCTCCAGTTTATGTGGCCCTTTCTGTCTCTTGGGCTAATACTTTCCTTTTGACTTTGGTGTACTTCATTCTCCTTAACTCCAGGTAGGTTGGGACGAATTGATGCATCTTAGATGGCGGCTTGCTAGCTTTTAAGACCCCAGACGCCACTCACCAAAGTAGGATGCAGAACACTTTCTTAATAAACTTTGTTATGCCAATTGACCTAGATGCACCCTGAAAGCATGGTCCCCAGACCCCTGCCCCTGCTACTCTGTCCCTCAAAGTGTTTGGTTGTATTCAGGAAACTTCTCAGCTTTGGTTTAGTCCAGTTGTGCTGACTTCCCCTGCAGTGTGCGCTGTCCTTCCATTCACCTAAGATAATTCTTGTCTACTATCTAGTTAGTGAATAACCCTCTCCCTCCCTCCCCACCCTCATAACCATCAAAGAATGTTTTCTTATGTGTTTAAACCTTTTCTTTAGTTCTTATAATAGTAGTCTTATGCAATATTTGTCCTTTTGCAACTGACTAAATTCTCTCAGCATAATGCCTTCCAGATTCCTCCATGTTATATGATGTTTCACGGATTCATCATTGTTCTCTATTGTTGCGTGGTATTACACTGTGTGGATATACCATAATTTGTTTATCCATTTGTCTGTTGATGGGCACCATCTTTTTGCTATCATGAACAGTGCTTCAATGAACATGGGTGTGCGTAAAATCTATTCGTGTGATGGCTCTTATTTCTCTAGGATATATTTCATCCAGCTTAGATTTAAAATATCTATTTTTTCTATTATGTGACTAGAAAGATTCCTAAATCATGGCTGACGAATATAGTAAAAATCTGTAAAATGAACCCTAATATCAAAAGCTGGTAGTTTTAAACCAAAGCTGTAGAACCTCTTCTTTTTAGATCACCCAATACTAGTGAAGAGCATAGAAAACATACTGTAAGATTTTGAGTAAGTAGTGAGTGAGAAAGGTGAGCGGACTTATCTGTCTAGAGAAATCAAGTTCTCCTTTGATTTACCTAAGGCAACTTCTATTTTATGTCCAAATTAACTCTTCATCACGCATGCCCATTTCTGGTCATCCTCACACCACCTGGGCTATAGTATAGTATTAAGCGCAGGTCAAAGATGACAATCTCATTCCTGACTATATGTTTCTTAGTGTAGAATACAAATCCTAGTTTCCTTATCCATAGGAGTTAACTTCTAAATACTTCACCTTCCAATCTAAACACTTATTTAGAAAGAGCCCTTGTAGTGACAGAAAGAAAACAACTCTCAGGAAAAGTTTTGCTAAAGAAACTAAAAGTCTTTGTAAGTTTTTAAAATATACTTTTTATACAAGTAAAATTTCCAAAAGCTTTGTAAAATTATAA